CAATAAGAGAAGCTACGGTGATTGAATGAATTCGTTGTAAGGATACGGTGTAACAATCGTAAAATTTCCTTGTCGTCGGTTTATTAAGCGAGATAATTGAAATGAACATTAATAGCTTTGTAGGCTCCTTTAACGACGATATACTCGATGCCTTTGAGCCGAACAACAATTAATGCCTTTGAGCCGAACAATAATTAATGTATATCCTTAGTAAACGATAATGCTACACGCTCAATTGGTACATAAAAGCTAGCCCAAGCGTATAACGAATCGCGATACAATATCGATAAAAAGAAAAAAGAATAAGTATATCGAATGAAACAAATTCAGCGTTCACACGCGAATATACGTGAGAGGCCAGATTATTTTTCATCCGAATTTATTACCGATTTACGAAATGTGTTTTAAAGTCGTTTAAGATATTCAAACTATTAAGAAAGAGAACGTAATGGTTTATAATTATAATAAATAAAGCTATCCGTGTGTTACCGTTATAATTAAAGTTTTTAAATATTCATAAAAAACATCTATTTTAATGACTACTGCTAATGTCAGGAAGAAACTTCCAAGTCTTTTGCCTCGCTATATAAATATAGCAATCATCAGAAAAGCATATCGAAGTAAATACCGCATACCGAGCGTACGCGACCGTACGTACGATCGTCGACACCGGAAATCGCGACGGAGATGGCGAGCACGTACACACATATACACACAGAAATACGATTGTCTTCTAAGCTCTTTACTCTTCCTGCTGGACGTCGGCCGTATTCTCGTCGACTGGTTGCATTGTCGCCATCGGCCGTCGATTCTCCTTGTCGTACTTCACCGACGTACCTTTCATGACTCTCCCTCCATCTATTTACTTTTGTCAAAAGCCGAATTTCGATAAGTTACGACTGGTTTAAGAAAGGGGGCTGTCGGGAATAAAATTTTTGTCGGGACTTATCCGGAGTGATCTGACAGATATCTGTCGCGAATTGTTCTTCGCGACGCCAACGGCTCAGATGCGGCGATCTTGGCGAGAGCGCGGATCTCTCTGCGCGAAATTCGCGAAGCGATCCTCACGCTTCGCCACTCCACGGCGATTTGACGTTTCTGTCTGCCAAAACTATGTTTAAATGCAGACCGCGCGCGCACAGACGCGGGGCGCGTCTATTTTTAGCGACGGCCGCTTCCCGAAAATCGCGCCCCCTTTCTCTTATCCCGGCGATAACACCCTCGCGGCCTCCAGCACCCTGGCGTCATCGACCGATGCGCCGCGATGCATCGCCGAAGTCTCGCGAAGTAAGAAAGTGTGAACTCCTTCCTTTTACCTCTTTCTATTCTAGATACCAAAGTAACATGATTTGTTAAACAAGGAAAGAACATGCCTGCATTCTCTGCAATGGATAAGATTCGTTCTATATTTGCATATAGATTTATTAACATTTTTATGTCTTGACTTGAATTCTTGGAAAATAAATGAGCATTTTCGAAATCAAATAATTTTCAAAATAGAGAACTGGCAGAGCGCGAAACATCTGGGACTTTGAGATCTCTCTCCGCCTCTTTTGCAGTGTGAGGATCTAGTGCAGAATCTCAAGAAAATAATTGCTGTTTATTTAACGAGTGCCATCAAAGATCATCATCGCGTTTGGTTTGCCAAAACGAAAAATACTTCCGCGACTTTACTATAGTCTTCCAAAACGTCATCGGTTCCGTTAGAATGCAAAAGACGTGGAAATGAGTTACGGCAAGCAGGTGAACATGTTGCAAAATTTTATCTAGTTACGTATTACTTTGTATGACGTTGAAGAAATATTAGAATTTTCTAGAACCTACGTGAGGCAGATTTGCTTGATAAACTTTTTTTGAAAGCCCAAGCGGCATTTTGAAAAGATCCAATGAAAGACCGTTTCATTTCGGTAACGAGAATCGCATAAAAAATGAATCAGTATTGTTCATAAATTTTCATTGTCAAACGCAAAACAATTTTTAGTTGTAACCACTGAAAGCAAACTGACAGTACATCAATATTAATTAATCATATCAAGCAAACATTACAGTAACATTAATATTAATTAATTATATAAATTAATATAGCACACGTACACAACAGTGACATTGTTGAGTAGGAAATTACAACATTATTTAACAGAGAAAGCAGCTTTACAACTATTATAAGATTCTTCAATACGATTAGTCTTGTTCTCTAGATCCTTATTAGATTTAAATCTATGTATCAATTATATTAAGGAATTATACAACATAAGGCGTTCATGTCTAATAATATTTCTTGTGAATTTATACAGTTTCCAGTTCAAGCTAACTGTAAGGATAATTTGTCAATCTTGAAACACATAGCTCTAAACCGAAACTGGAATAACACTATTATAATTGAATTGGTAAGCAATTTAATAATATTGATGCTTGACGTAATGTTACTGTTATATAATATTGATGCTTGACGTAATGCTACTATTATATAATATTGATACTTGACGTAATGTTACTAATGTTCTATGAGAGCAAATATGAAATCTGCTTAACGGAATTCAGGCTTACAATTAGATTCTTGATTTTTTTGTTGAATTCAATCAGAAAATCGATAATCCGTAACAAAAAATTTCTACGTGTAACTATTCGATGCAATTAAGATGCCACACCAGAAAAAAGACTTGGATTATTTATTTAATTACTAAGAAAATCGTAAAATCAGAGATAGCGTCAGCGGCGCGATATTCGCGTGCGGCTGTCACATTGGCGCATGTTTATTCACGTGCGGCACGTTCGCCGGCATAAAGACATTAAAATTGCGCACGAAACGACACACGATGCGTTATTAACGGAACACGATTCATGGAGTTTATCGAAAACGAACCGGCACGAGACACATCGAGATGAATCGTGTTAAGAATTGAGCCGAAAGGGGAGGCGTTAAGAAAGCAGCCATCAAGCAGGAAATACGACTTGCTCTCCAAGGCTTCTTCTCTCTCGAGGACAGCATCGTAGTCGGCGATCATGTATGACCAACACTGAAATTACACGACCTCCGAGTCGAACGACGACTGGCATACCAGTGTTGAACAGAACCGAGCAATCAAGCTGTCTAACAATTAAATGTACGAAGCTCACTTGTTGATGAACGCGAATTCGCGCAATCCTGCGGATTGATTAGCGAACGTGCGAAGTTCCACGAGCACGGTCGAGTTCTCACGAGGCTCTCCTATCGATTGCCGAAAGGGCGCTCTCTGGTTCAAACTGGTCCACGCTCTCCTCTCGCCAAATTAGTCCATCTTGTGAAACTCAAGTTTTCGAATTCGATCAACAGCGCGAGGATCATGGTGGAAGAAAACTTCCATGGCGAGGATCTGGTTAATCTTACGATAACTTCACATGCTATATTTACACATATAATTACTACTGATGATGGCATTAATATAATTTAATTTGCTTCACTGTAAGTAAAGTACACCATTATTATTATTATTATTATCGTATATGAAGAAAAAGAGTATGAAATGTTGTATGTAAATTATTATTTAAATTATAGTCTTTTGAAGCGAAGCCGCAGCTTGCAGATTCCTTGCTCGTAATGTTGTTAACCTGACCCGATGATAATTGAGGAAATAAACTAAATAAACATAACACTGTATTATTCATATAAAACAGATATTTTTCAACTCGTAAAAAATACAGATTGAAATCTCAAATTTTATATAGTATACAACATAAACGTTTATGTCATAATCCGACATTCGTAACACATGAATTATCGTTGAGGGTTAACAATTTCGAAGTGTTTACAAAAATTATCAGTATTTTAAATTTAAAATACTGATATTTATTTTAAAAAATTTATTTAAAAAAAAATAGATACGTTCTCAAGGCGGATAAAATATCAAAAACTCCATTTTTCATAACAGATAAAAAATATTCATAGATATGTCATAATGGAAGGGACTCGTGTCACATTTAAGTATGTCAAAGAAGAAGAAACATTCGATTAGATTAATTGCACATTTATTTATAATATCTATTTGTTTGATCAACAATAATATATCATCAGTCACAGATTGCCTCACCAAATTTTTTTTCTTTCATCTGATTCTCCGCAGAACGACGTTATCAGCGATTCTCATCGGGACAGCCATACTCAGCGACGACATTGCATCTTTACGTCATTTAGCAGAACATTATATGTATCTGATCAACGTCGCTAAATTTCAGCCGCCAAATTGTCATCAAGGTGACCGGCGTCGTGTTCGGCGACGATACACCCACGCGACTCAAACGTCACGTTTCCGTTCACGCTACGGTGCTAATAACTGTCGGATCGACAGCGTGGCACGAGGCCAATAAAAAGGACGCTGCATAGAGCATGAATCGGCGAAACATTAGAAATTCAAATCCAATGTCGTTCGTATAAGATGGACACTCGGTCCGACCACGCCTCTTATTCATGACCTAAGCACAAGAGCATAACCGGTTCACGCGACCACGTTTTTCAACATTTAAACCCACCTCACTCTATGGAACACTCGCGCTATGCGGTACTCTATTCGCGCACATCAACTTCCCCTTCGTCGTCCTTCGCAAATCATGCAGGAAGGACGTTTAGGGTTGCACCAGCGATCAATACGCGGCGGACTTTATTGAACGCTACAATCTCAAACGCGCGATCCATTCTCTTGGAATTTTACCTTTACGAGTTTTGAGATCGCACACATAGAAATTCCCGATAGGAGCACATAAAATAGTCGCAAAGCGAATCTTTTCAGCTGCAGTTCCATTCTAAATGCAACGCCTTGATCGTAATCCCTTAAAGCGTTCCTCCTCTAAAAAATCGAGAATCGAAAGGCGGAAACAGAGAATATCTTTAAATCTCTCTTACACTGCAACATATATATTAATCGTTAAGAGAACCAGATAATAACAAGTTCATAAGTTTATTATCAAGGATATCAGCAAACGTCGACGATACAGTTTATCCGTTAAAAGAATGCTTGGTTTCGATCATACTTGAAGCCGATACTGAAACTGATATCGAGGCCGCTTCTCGCCGGGTCTCTGTGAATTGTGCTACGAGTTCCGCGTTAAAAAAAAAAAAAAGAAGAAGAAGAAAGGATAGTACGCCGTATTTTGCGTGCGCTGCCCGAGCGATCGGGAGAGGAGACGACACAACGAGTAAACGTTTGTAGAAGCAAAAAAAAGCCGCAGATGATGTTCGACGGGGTGGGGCTTTGCTCTCCAGGCCGAGAATATATAAATCGCAGGTAGGGCTGAAATTCAAGTTAGTTCGGATACGAGCTGAGGCTATCGGCAATCTACGGAAACGAGAGATGCGGGTGAGTCTGTCGGTGATTCATTACTGTGGAACTGTTGCTATTGTTATTCTGTTCGATTATTTGCATATGTCTAATGACGCCAATTTGACATTAAAATGAAACGGGACTTCTTCCTATTTGTTTTTTCTAAAGTGATACTTGTTAAATTTGTCAGTGATTTGTCGTGCTTCCGCTTTACAATTTTTTATTTATTTCACAAAAAATAAAAGATTTAATTAACTGTTGTTATTTATATAAGATCGTAAAAATTGCTTTATTCTATACAGTTAATATGAAAAAATAAAAATAGATCAAAATAGCGAGATATATTAATAGAATATTATTGTCATACGTACCGCGCTGACGTCATGATGTTTTCGTGGAAAGTAATTTCATTTCTTGTTTGCTCGGATCATTCGCATGCAACACACGAAATTTGACGGGTAAATCTCATTTCAAAAAGTCATTGCGTATGTTTCTTGTCTACGCTTTTGAGAAACAATAAACAAACTCATTATACCCTAACAATACCGATAATTAAGAAAACTACAAATAAATATATAATAATAAACGGAAAGTAATTTCATTTCTTGTTTGCTCGGATCATTCGCATGCAACACACGAAATTTGACGGGCAAATCTCATTTCAAAAAGTTATTGCGTATGTTTCTTGTCTACGCTTTTGAGAAACAATAAACAAACGCATTATACCCTAACAATACCGATAATTAAGAAAACTACAAATAAATATATAATAATAAATATAATTAATATATAATATATATAAATATATTAGAATGTAGAAGCACTATATTTTAATGTTTGTTGTGTTCTTCATATATCTATTTAAATATATAATATAATCTAAATTGCTATGTGAACGTATTTCGATGCCGCTTAATTTTAAATTTTTTGCAGGGTTTATCGTCTTTTGTAATTTTCTTCGCGGTGATAGTTGGAACGGCAGTATCGAAACCATTATGGTCGACTTTAGTCAGCACTAATTATCTGTATTCCACGCCCGAAATTGGACAGCAGCAATATCTTGCCGCATATCAAGATACGCATTCTCCCTATTACGTTTACAATGTATTACAGACATAAAATATTGTACAACTAACGCTTGGACATCATCTGTAACATTATGCGTCTTTTTAGATGTATTCAAACGCGGGAGGTATATCGAACACTCTTCATGTTAGCAGCAAACCAGAGATTTCTCACTTTCCTGCTTATAGTTTCTATTATGAAACACCAATTTATGATATCCGGATTCCATTAAATCCTGTAATTATGTTATCTCAATGAACTTTTATTCAAAAAGTTGTTTTTCACTCGAGTTATACGCTGTAAGCTACATACACAAATGAATAATAACTTGTATTATTTCAGGTTTATCCGGTGCTGACACCATTTCATCCAGGAATACCTCCGGCATTTCCGCCAACATCGACAGAACAATCTTCCAACGAAGACGATTATGACGGCATCGAAAAGTTAGATACGAAAGTCGATCCGGATACAGAGACAAAAAACCCAGAAAATACAGATAACGATTCCATAACTGTGGAAGCAATATGATATAATTCTCCTTGTACAACATAGCGTATATGTAAACGTGAAAAGTTATAATAAGTACTATCGTTTAATACGATAAATGTTCGCTTTTTTAATGTTACTTTTATATTTATGTTATGTTGCGCTACATCCAAGATATGTTAAAAAGTACTTTTTGACCAAATTTTTATTAAAAGAGAAAAATAATGCACTGTTACATTCGTACGTAAGAATACGTCCGATATTTGTAATAAAAATTAAGATTTTGGTAGGTTTCACTTTATTTATCTTTTCCCTATTTCAAATTACCATTTGAAAGTTACTTGAAGTTATTTGCAAAGTAGGGAGATGTTGATATTGAGGAAAAAAATATCAAATATAAATATACCTGTTAATTTAAAAAGTATTCATATCAAATAAATAATTAATATATCAAATAGAATTTCGCTGATCGATATTTATAATAAAAGAAATAAGAAAAGTAGAATGTGTGTGTGTTAAGTTTTAACTATTTTTTAGTAATAATGAATATTCTTTCACGTTCTTGATGTTTTCTGAATATGAGCAATGCACTCGACTTCGCTTAAACAGCCCTTTAAAAGCATCTTCAGATTCCCACTTGAGTGCTCCTCTCCCTTCAAGTATCTATTATTCTTAAGTCTGTTTTTTATAGCTGAATTACTATACATTTTTGGAACTTAAAGTGAGATAGCTAGTGATGCATTTCGATACGAGAATCTCGGAATATCGTCTCGGAATTTCTCGTATTAAAAATATCATTTCCGAGATTATCATACGTCATTTGTTTTTCTCGTCTCGTCTCGTCTCGAAAAAATCGCAGAAATATCGGAATAAGAAATAAACATTATCTATGAAAGAGTTAAAACCAGATCAGAGACAGTTGTTGATTCCGTTGCATCGGTTTAATAAAAAATACACATTTCTGCATCAACAGTAACCAAAATTAATTAAATTTAAACATTAAGAGGTCAAGATCAAACCAAATAATTGATTTTAAAAAATTAATTCTATAATATTAGTTAAGAAAACCAATTAATATAGAGATTTACAGCTCTTAATGAAAATTAAAATATTTTATTCTTTTGAATGAAAATACAATAAAACGTTATAATTGTGTATTATGACGTGACGTTTGCACCGTCCGTCGTAAATGAAACGAGATAGTCAATATTCTTGAATGTCTCGCGATAAAATTCGAGAATCTCAACAAGCGAGAATATCGGCCCATCGAGACGAGAAAATCGTATCGCTCATTTCTTTTTGTCGAGACCAAATCTCGGTATCGGTATTTTCTCGTCTCATCTCGCTCGAACGCATCACTAGATATTGGTATGTATTTAATATTTGACGAAAGCGAGAAAAATATTGCTAGTGCAGTCTAGTGTAGGAATAAAAAAAACACACTTCTTGTTTAAACATTCGGTGAATAACAAGAATAGAATAATATCTAATGGCGCTCTAAACGATAGAAATCTGAACATAGCTTAAGCCTTAAATACACATAATATAATATGTAATTGGTACATCTCGGAACTCTTTCATTTTAATTGAAAAACATTCAAAGTTTATTGTGATATCCTCCTTTATATTGTAATAATATTGTCAAATTTTTATGTAAAAGTAATAATATTTATCTACATGATTGATGTACTTCTATTTCTTGATATACCGCTTCTATTGACGTACTTTTTCCTAAATCTGTCAGATCCATAGTTTTTTTTACATCATACACCAAAGCCAGATTCATTCTTTAAATTTTCCTTTTCAACAATTGAAATCAATCCACACTACTTGCATCCACACATCTTATGCATTCATATATGCATGAGAAATGGCAATCACACGCATAGAATGAAAAATATAGCAATATAGACCAACAACTTGTCTTTGTTTAACATTTGATAAACAACAAGGATGAAATAAACGTTGCGAGTATCAAGTGGAATGCACCTTAGACCGTTAACTCGCTTATACATATACTATAGATACATAATAAGCTTTCTATAAGTCATTAGTCTTAAAACACTAGGTGTAGTAAGCTTTAAGAAATCGATCAATTAACCCGGATCTGCAATAGATTTTTAAACCTTATAGCTGTAAGAAATTGACCAATTACAGTCGAATCTGAGAAGAATAAGCGACTGTGATTCGCCTATTTCTTATGGCTTAAGGCTTAAAACCGTATTGTAGATCCGGACTAATTGGACAGTTTTTTATGGCTTAAGACTTAAAACACCTATTGTAGATCCGGACTTACAGTCGAATGTGAGAAGAATAATCGACTACAATTGGTCAATTCCTTATAAAGCTTAAGAATTACTACTATTGTGTTTGCGGGGTAAAAGTACTATAATACTATGTAGCATGAAAGCCTGTGATTTACGCACGTTTATGCATTGCTCCTGATAAAATTATATAAACTAATTATGTTATAGATATATTAATGCTTTTATTTAAAAATATTTAATTTAGGAATAATTTAAAGATATTATTCGATATTGCATTTCCATACTTTTTCTATTCTATATTTTATATCGAATCTAGAAAAATCTCGAATAATCGATAATATTAAATATCAATAATCCTATTGTAAATAAACATCTCTATTATAAATTTATTAACAAACATTTATTAATTTTTCATATCAGAAAAGCTATTTATCAAATCGACAGAATTCGACAGATTTGATATCGCCTCACAAAGAACAGGACAGCGACGAAGTAACTTTGCGTCAATAAATCGATCGTTGTTACGACAAAAAAAATGTCGAGGTCATTTACCCCGAGAATCCGAGATAAAATGGGGTCAAAGATGATGAGAAGTCTTCGAGTCCATCAGTACATCGATTTCCTTGGAACGCGCTCGTCGATATCGACGTTACAAAAATGATTGTTCGCCATGGAACGTTATGGGCAATCGCGGTGCTGGTTCTTCTTACGAGTGTATCATTTTCGGAATCTGTAAAACTACGAAAACCACGAAAGAGGACCACGGCAAGAACTCCGTATCAACAGTCCAGGATTGGATCGGTAATCATAAGAGTGATGCATAAACATTCTGATGATGATCTCACGCGTAGTGCATCGGCTGGTTGTGCTAACGGCAATTGTAGAAATGTGCACAATAAATTTAACTTTGAACCTGTCAACGAAGCGATGTCCGAGAAAGATAATTTCCTCTCAGACGAGGAATCATTGCGTTACGTCGTGCATCCGGAGAAATATGAACATTTCGTGATGAGAAAGAATACAGGACACGCGAATAGATACAAAAGGGACTATACATTTTCGGAATTACGTTCATCAAATACAGACGATCGTACAGTGGTTAATCGTGACGCGAGTGAAGTATCAAAAAATATAAATAAAGGAAATTTTATGAAAAAAATTTACAGACTTCCGTTGTACAAAACGATTTCACTAAATCCGTTCAATAAATACACAAAGAATCTTTCGAAATCTTTAAGTGAAGCAAACAGAACGAGAAGAAGCCTCGCTGTTGATTATTCTTTGCAAAGAAACGATAGTGACAGTGGCGATGCGAGTAAAGTACCAAAAAACGTAAATAAAGGAAATTTTACGAGAGTTCCGCTGTACAGAATAGTTTCACTACACGGACTTAACAGATATACAAAAAGTTTGGAACCTTTAAACGAAGCAAGCAGAACGAGAAGAAGCCTCGCTGTTGATTATTCTTCGCAAAGAAACGATAGTGACAGTGGCGATGCGAGTAAAGTACCAAAAAACGTAAATAAAGGAAACTTTACGAGAGTTCCGCTATACAGAATAGTTTCACTACACGGGCTTAATAAATATACAAAGAATTCTAAATTTTTAAGCGAAGCAAGCAGAGCGAGAAGAAGCCTCGCTATTGACTATTCTTCGCGAAGAAACGACAGTGATTATTACGCACAGCGAAAAGCCGTCATGGACAGATATTACGCACGGCAGCGTGAGATAAACGCGCGATACGCTAATCGAACAAGCACGACTCCGCGATTTAAGTACAACAACGTAGCGCCGACAAGCAACGTGTTCAATCTCGGACGTATATATTCTAATATAGACTCGACGGCGAGGGACACTGCAACTTTTCTTCATCCATCCACAAAGATAGATCCAATATATAGCAACGAATCGCGATACAACAAAATACCGACGGAACTGGACAATCGACGAAACTTCGTTCCTGAAATCGAACCCGACTTCAAATCTGACACGGATTTGTCTCAAATGAGAAGCAGCGGCAATAGCGAAAGAAACGCATTGGATTATTTCGTCACACCCACGCCCTGCACGAATTTATCCTCAAATGGCACTTTCGCACCGAAAACGCGACCCAAGCAGGCACAAAATTGCACCAGTGAAACAGAGCAGAGCAATGAGGACTGCGCTTACAATTCAGTATATAAGGTGCATTAATATAATAAATATCACTTTTACATCTCTCACGAATTTCTATCGATTCAATTTTAGTATAAAACTTTTAGAGTGAATTGTCACTCCGAAGAGTGAAATCTTATTCTTAAAGATTGAAAATTGAGCCACTCTTTTTTAAGATTGGCTCAATCTTCACTCCTTAAGACGAGATTTCACCCCAAAGAATTCAGAGAGTATTTTTTCATTGCTTTAGTACAAAATGTACTCTCTAAAATTTTTAGAATAAATCTCTCTCTGAAGAATGAAATTTCACGCTTAAAGATTGAAAGGTAAGCTATTCTTTATCAAGACTGTCTTTGCTTTTTATCCCCATAGCAAAAAATGTCATGGTGACATGCGAATGTTCGCTTTGTCACAGGTACAATTACTATGACATGATTGTGAAGCGGTCATAAAAAATTGTACCTCACTGTAATGCTGCTATGACATATACAGATTAAGCTAATAAAGTGATGTCACTGTGACCTTTTGATAATCTCATAGTGGCGTCACAATTTTGTGAGCCTATTGTGACGTCATTGTAAAGTTTTTTACTATGAGAATAGAGATTCCATTCCAAAGAATTTAGAGAGTATTCTATTATATGATGTATTACGGATTATGTGTTTTATTTTCTAGAATAACACCGAAGGCAACCTACGATGGGGAAAGTGCGAAGGAAAAATTGTGTATCAACACAATTTGCTTCTAG